AAACAAAAGACCAAGACGAGACGAAAGAATCTCTCAATTCTCGATGAGACGAGAGAAGAAATTGCTCTCGTATTTCAATACGAGACGAGACGAGAGAATGGTTTCCTGAGAACGAGACAAGACGAGAAGATGCAGTTTCTCGTCTCGTCTTGTCTTGCGGCATCAGTGATGACGAGTCATTACATCACTTTAAGATTTTTATTATTCTTATATAGGATAACAGAGAAATTGCCACTGTCATCAGATACAATGCTCCAATCTATTGCTTCCTGTCCAGTCCCTGATTCCCCTAGACTTGTTCGTTACACGCATTTTCCTCCCCAAAATTATATGTATTCAGCATTGTACGCGAGAAGGAAAGAATCCGTGTCACAGTGGTTTATGGTGGTAGCTAACCGTTATACTCAATGTACTATTAAATGCGTCCATTGTATGTCGAATACACATTCATCGCTTTCACAAATTTACTTCCGCAAAACGTTGGAATAGGTCCATTCCCTTGACTCGGACACAGTTCAAGAAGAAAAAAACTCCTCTCGGCACGTGTGCCCCCACTAGCGGTGCAACAAACGCCCTCCCCTTGTACAAATTCGATAGTAATATCATCCCTTTTATTTATTCCTTTCTCTGGCTAGCTCATCCTTTCTGTTTTATCGCTACATCTACGATAAAAAAGTGGGAGGGGAAAAAGGATAAATGTAAAAACGATGTATCGATGGATCGCTGTGGACTACAGCTTCCGCATTCATATGCTAAGATCCTCTTGGCCCTCAGCTTTTTGGCAGAGTCGCTCGATACAGAATATCTCCTATTACAAAAATAATAATAATAATGTAGGTAAAACTCGTCGCCCCCCGCCTGACCATGAGTTATCGTTTCTAGATTTTTTTTTCAACTTTCTCAACCGCATAAAAAGGCGGAAAAATTCTCTTCAACGTAATGTAAAAGTTGTCCATTTCTGTGTAAGGGATATTAATTTTTATAATTTATGACGTTTCCAATATCCACTGGATAGTAGGGATTGGCGGTTTGTCGATTAATCGAAAACATCGAATTTTTTTCGATGGCCGATTAATCGATTTTCGATTTTAACAAAATTTTTCGTTTTTTTTCTTCTTTTTTTTAATTTAAATTTTTAACAATTATTGCAGCTAACGTCCAGCCAGGAAAGAAATTTTTTCAATTAATCAAAAACCCCGTTTCGAGATTCAAAATTTATCTCTTCAGCAATAGTTATCATTGAAACGTAAGTTCCTCGGGTTTTTTAAAATTTATATTTTTCAATAAATCATGAATTAAAATAGAATATAAATTAAAATTATTATGACATAGAAAAATAAATTTTTAAACACCATTTTAAAAAAATTAAAAAAAAAACAAATAATAATGTTGAAAAGTAATAATGGTAAATATGTTAATGTTAATGTTAAAATATAATGTAATAATGTTTAATCATGTTTAATATTTAAAAATAATAATAATGTCTTTAAAAAAATTTAAAAACATTTTTAAAAAATTTGTTGTCATAATAATTTTAATTTATGTTTTAGTCTAATTCATGTTGTTATTGAAAAATATAAACTAAAAAAAATCAATTTTTTTTGCTTTTTTTTTTTAAACGTTTGACAAAAAAATTTTTTTTCTGTCATGAGAAAAATATCGATATTTCTTCGATAATCGATGTTTTTTAAAATATCGCCCACCCCTACTGGATACAAATGACTACAGTGAGTTTCCTGCGATAACCAAGCATCCCTTACTGCCGTTATGTGTATTCTCTAACGTTAAATTCAGGGTGGAGTAGAAATAGGGAACAATAGTCAGGGACAATTGAGGGACTCCACGCCAACATTTACGAATTAGGCTCGGTTACGCGTTTACTGCGAATACCGGATATGATGTGTGTGTATTTCTCGGAATTGAATCGAGTAAAATTTATCCCTCCCACCGTCTAGTCGACGCCAATGCGGAGATGCGAAGTATTAGCATTGGTTAGTTTTATGGACCGTTCAATTCCGCCTGCGAGAATATCGCACGATCAATAAAAGGCGAACGTTTGCCTCCTATTTCTTTTTTTATCCCTCCGTTTTTTTTTCCTTTTTCGTTCATCTGTGGTGGACTTTTGGCTTTTCCGCGCATCCAGTTAAGTACTTTGTTGTGTCCCCGGGAGTTGGGTTCCAGAGATTAATTGCCTTATCGTCGCGTGGCTTTTCCATTCATAGTAGACTTTTCAACTTGACGCGGGCACATACGTCAAGTGTGTAGGTAGCCAAACCGACGTGAGTCAGAAATTTTTTTTTCTCAACTAGATTATTCCGCGCGTATGTCCTACTCCAAGGGGTCAATGTATGTCAATTGTAGTAAATAGTGTTATACAGTGGTTACTCCCTAACATTTCAGCCTCTGGGGCCCGAATTCAAGGAATTAAATGTTCGGGAAGCCCTTACTCTTCCGCTGGAGGCGGAGCTAGGAAAGAGATAAACAGAGAAAGAATCTGCCTGTTTCACTCTCACGCGCCGAGAGTAATTTTACTGCGCAGTCCCGTCGCGCAGAGGGGCACACACATTTACCCAACACATTTACGTTGTCGATGGTGGGGGAAGTCAACTTCTCCGACTGAAATGTTAGGGAAGCGAAATGTTAGGGAGCAACCACTGTATTAGATTTCTGAAGTTAATATCGAGTTTCCCGAAGGAAAAGTTTCAGGAATGTGTTCTATTTTTTTTTAATATATAATACATCCAGTGTTACGTTTTTTGAAACCAATCTATTCGGCATATTGCGTCATTAGATTTTTTAGAAATGATGGTAGAATACATTAAAGATATTACGATAATGTTATGTTATATTCGATACTCTACTATATCATATAAACTATGTGTAATGTACAATATATAATAGAGTACTATATGTATTATAAAATATAATGTAGATGATAAAAAAAAAATAATTAACTGATAATAATAACATACCTTAAGTATACGATATTGTGTTATATTACATATACCATATATGCCTAATGGATTATGATATAGTATAGTATAGAATATAATGTAATATAGTATTATCGCAATATCTGTAATGTATGTTATCATCATTTATAAAAAAATTGATGACACAATATATCGAATGGATTGGTTTCAAAAAACGTTACACTCGATTTTTTATTAAAGTATTAAAGGATAAAATGCTACACAGAAGAGATGGAATAACAACTGGAGTTTTTCTGCAATGTGATTTACTCTTAGTGTATCGTTTCCCCGGAGGGGACGGGGGACGGAGAAGTAGGAAGAAAAAGCCAAGGTAGTTTTATTTTACAATCCATCGGGTTAAAGTCGTCACGGGAGGGTGAATGTCCAAGGGAAGGGGATGGAGTGAAATTTTCCTTACATCCCACTTTTTCGTTGTGGGTTGAGAAAAAGGCTGAGAGAGGCTTGCTTGTCAACTAGTGTTTTAAAAGTTTGCGGGTAGACTACAAATTGGCTTGCTCACTTGGTTTTTAAAATAGGGTGGCCACTCAACCTAGAAACTGGAAGAAGCTGGGGATCTCTTTAATCACGAATTATTGAGGGAGAAATGAAAAATTTCAGTAGCGAAGCGGTAAACCGGGTTGAGTCGAAAAATGTGAATTTTACAGGAGAGCCGAAAAACTGATAGTGACTGTCCTTTTGTGAATTTAATGAAACTCAGGCACAGATTTAACAATTTTTATCGACTCAGCTCGGATTGTTTTCCACACTCGAAGAGTTCAATCGACTTAGCTCTCTTGATTTCCCCCTCCAACCGAGTTATGTCGACTTGAACCACCACTCAATAAAAAAAAATCGATTGACAAATTATCAGGTGGATGGATTTAATTAATTTTCCTTTATTCTAGAGTCATAATAAAATTCTATAGTCGGCAAAGTGGGAAAGCTAGAAATCCAATTCTTTAATTCGAACTACTCCAATTAATATTAAGAATACCCATTTAATCCATACAAAACGAGCTAAGTCGACTCAGCTCATTTTTAAATCATTCTTTTCTGCTTATGTCGACTCAGCTCCTCTGAAAGGGATTTTTCCCAAAAATGCGACTGAACCCGTTTCATTTCGTTCCGAAAAAGGCATTAAATATATTTTGATACTAAAATCGTTCACGCGCCAGATGCATCCCCCCCTCAAGAGTCGATTTATTATTTATTTTTATTATTATTTTTATTATTTACATCAACGAGATCGGCCGCGCTTTCTCATCTGCTCACGTAGTGGCGTTTCGGTTTCAGTCTTACGCTTACGCTTATTCGAGATTTTCGAGATATTTCGAGATCGATTTCCTTTCTCGTTTTTACGATAGGATTTATAGCTTGTTTGTCATCACTACAATATCTTAGAATTATCTACAATATCTTTTCGTCGAGTTTTGAAAAAAAAAAAATTGTCTCTCTCATTCTCGATTTACCAACGACTTTATAATCGTTTTTCGTACATTACAAAATCTCCATGTGATTAGATAAGCATATACGTAGAATTGACACATGTTGGGCTTTGTTTGAGTTTCGATGATGGTTATACTATTTATAGAAATTACCAAGGATAAATTTTTCCACGTCAAAGTGCAAACAATTTATTAATACCGAACACATAATAATTCGGTGTAATGAGTGGAGATTATCACAGGTGTAATGCATCATGTGATTGAATGGAATAATTTTTCCCGTCTCACTTGTTCATTGGCGAGTAATAAAAATAACGTAATGATCAGTTCAAGTTATTCATAAATGCACGAGTTTAAAAGTATTTTGACGTTATAAAACGTTTTCATTTTTCATATAGTTGTTTAATGTGCTCCATGGTCTGTCGAGTCTGTACATTTGATACACACTATTAGTCGCGCGTCCGCCTTGATTTATCATGGGTTATTCAACATAGAATTTTTACATTGAATCGAGAGGAGCCCCTGACTTTTCACAAAAAATCAGTGTATTTATGTACACTTTAGAGGGAGTTTAGGGGTGAAGAGTCAAGATATTTCACTTGTCATCATATTTTATTTGGTCGACAATGCACGTACATTACAACAGTCACTGGAAAATCATTATTCAATATGGGAAAGGGGAATAAATAAAACTCGATTGGCCGATTCGCTGCGATACAATCGAGAGGACAATTATAAAATACTGGGAATAGAGAGCGCAGAACAGGGCACGAGCCTTGAAAATTCAAAACAATACTCTAGTGTGAATGAATAATTATGCTACGTCACACTTTGGTGGTATGGGCGGTATGTGTGGTTCGTGCTCGTAACTATTGAGATTTTGGGCGACGAATGATGGGGTCTTTGGCAAATTTGAGTCCCTTGAGGGGGTTTCTTCGGATGTTTCGTAATAAATAAAAGTGGAATTACGTCGTGGGCGAATAATCCAGTCTTCACGGGCAGCAAACACAATTATCCAAAAGTATACTGTAATGACTGAAAATTTATTTATTTGTCGTTAGTTTTCACTTGCAAGAAAACTGTTAGAAAATTAATCTTGAAATTTCGAGTGAAAACGCTTGAAATTTTTAACAACGGCAAAGGAACGGCACTAAAAACCTTGAAAACTTTGAAAATGAAGGCAATAACTTCCCTGAATTTTCAATTTAATGAAAATTGAATTGTATGCGGTGCACGGAGAAATATTCAGTAAAAATTACGGAACAATTCACGTAATCCGCAATGGGGAATCGTTCTCCTGCAATTTTTATAGGAATGGAAGAGAAGAAATCTGAAATGTTCAGTGAATTTTCAGGCTCATCACCGAACAAAATACGAAACTGTCACGTAATTTTTCCCGAAGAAGTAAAATCTTCCAGAAACTTGCCGACTTATTATGCCTCGAAAATCAAAAATTCTTGAACGTTCGACAATTTTTATGAAGCTGGTGAGTTATTTCTACGTTCCGTTCCGTCAAATTTCTCAATCTTTGGGGAAAAATGACGGAACGACTTGTTGTCCCCACAGGGGTGAGTCATCAGACGGCTGGTTAATTTTTACGTGGCGATTCGTACAATTTCGTAATTTTTACGTTTTTTTCTGGTAATTTTTACTGAGTTTTTCTCTCCGTGTGTTCAATTTTTCCAATAATTTTGGAAATTCAAGCTTCCATGGAAAAATCAATGATCGTTTAACACGAAAAACCCAATTTCCCTGAATTTTCTAGATGAATGAGAAATTTAGTGAACGCTTTCATTTGAAATTCAATTCAAACTCACAACATTGAAAATTCAGATGACGCTGTGACTGAAATTTCAAGAAATTTCTAACAGTGAATGATTAAAATTGCTGTGGAGTATACTCACGTAAATAAATACTGGATACAGGTATGTACCACTGGAATTTGTCAGTACTGTGACGAGGAGGAGGACGGACAAGGTGAAGAGTCAATGCCACTGTTTGATCAACAATACTAATCATCTGTAGATAGAGCCACGGAAGAGTACATTTGGGTTTTCTCTGAAAAATAAATCCTCTCACTGTACCAGTAGTTTTCAAATTCAAACGAATACTGTCCTTCAATAAAAAATCCAGTGTAACGTTTTTGAAGCCAGCCTATTCGGCGTATTGTGTCATTAGATTTTTTATAAATGACGACAGTATATTAAAGATATTACGGATTTTTGTATAATTAAGGTGTTTCGTCTGGTGATCACCGGGGGGAGAAACGGAAGGGGAGTCTCATTGTTCTCGAGCCCTGATTCAATCGCTGAGCACGAAATTTTCCAATTTTCAAGTAACTATTTAAGTGGGCATTTGAACATTTTTTGAATATTGATTTTATTTATCAGATTGATTGATTTTTTTCTCATCACCTACGGCTGTCAAATAATTTTTATTGGATGTTATTCTAATTATTGAAATAATATTAAAATGCGTCTCGAGTTGGTAAACCTGTCGAGTGTTTTCTCTCTCTCAGTTCCATGGTCCAACCCATAGCTTTCCCATGATGCTCACTGACATTCGAATCACGCGCCTGCGCGTGAGGGCGTAATTGCCCCGAAACTCATAATTTTCCGAATCATTTGTTCAAATAACTTTCTTATGAAATCGGAAAAAAATCTGAAACTTATACGTGTTCTCAAGAAAGATTTGATTTATCAGTCACTAGTTTTTCCTCAATAGTTCATTATTTTTTTGGGTGCCATGGAAATTTCTCTAATTGAGAGGGGGTAACCTCGGAGGTTATAGCTGGAGGGCTTACAAAACATCCAAATTTCATCATTTTTTTTTTAATCTGACATCTGAAGAAAATGTACAAGAATTCCCAATAATGCAGCAAACTTGGAAATTTCTCCCATGAATTTTCCAATTTTTTTTTCATTATTTTGACTTTTCAACCGAAACACCTTAAGCCCCACGGAGAAGGCCATACGCGCGCGGACTATTCTAGTAATGAAAAAAACATAATTACGTATAGAGTTCCAAGTGCCAGTAAAGTACTGGAAATGAGAAATAGGAACGAGTATCCCAGGAAGCAAATGAGAATCATCTGGGCTGCAATGAAGAGAGAATGAGTAATATTTGACTCTACGTTGTTGTGATGAATACAGAATGAATCACTGTTTCCCTCACTTGTCCTTTTACTTTATGTGACACAGTTGTCGTCGATTACGTACCTTGTTTTGGTATTTGAGCATTCTTGACGAACTCCGTCCAATGGAGACCCAGCAGAGCCCACGTTTCAATTGCCTCGAAGAATTCCTGTTCGTCGCCTCTCGAAACGAATTCACTCACCAAGACATTTATCATGAGAATCGATGTTGACTGGAACAATCATTAAAACTTGATTGAATTAAACTCGATTGAAATTTTCCGTTTCACACGTAGGGCACTATCGTTTCCTCTCCTCAATTATTCCTCCATCGTGATTTGTTTTTCAACAATTAACATACCAGTCCCAATGCTGCAATGATCCTCGCTGCTAGGGTAATACCAATGCAGCACAAGTGATTCATTATTCTTCTTCTTTTCCTTTTAGCCGGAGAAAAATATCTAGATCCGTACGATCGAGCGTCGGTCGGCGTTACTAAACGTTCACCAATTCGTAACACACTGTTCAAGACTCGGTTGACTCGAGGACACCGTGTGATAATGGGTCTAGCAACAAGTGTAAATACATGGGCCACGCACAAGTGTTGCCATGACAACGGGTCTCTTCTTCTCGTTCATTTTATTATTGTATTATTACTCTTCTTCGGATTACGATTTTCTGCATCAAAGTCCTGGTGAGACTATTGCGATTAAGGATTTTTATCCTAAATCGCAAGTACTTAAAAAAATTGATTTTTTTTAAACTGAGAGATGAAGATATTCCCTTCATTTGATACAAATTTCAATCCACCAAGCCATGTTCATTATTTGGAAATGAAATTGACAAAACGCAGCAAATGCAAGCGCTAACAGGTGCTTATGTGGGATAGAATCATTCAAATATTTCCTATTTTTGCCCGGCTACCCCAGATTTTTCTCTGCCGATTGGATTCAGTATGATTTCACACATTACCTTCCATTTTTATTTCTATTTTTAGAGTCTTCTAGTAGGTGAATTATCAATTTGAACATAAATTTCATAAGAGCCCGTGTATAAGGAAAAATTTGTTCATTTATTTCTGGCGAGACTATTGCGATTAAGGATGTTTATCCAAAATCGCAAATACTTAAAAAAATTGATTTTTTTTAAACTGAGAGATGAAGATATTCCCTTCATTTGATACAAATTTCAATCCACCAAGCCATGTTCATTATTTGGAAATGAAATTGACAAAATGCAGCAAATGCAAGCGCTAACAGGCGCTTATGTGGGATAGAATCATTCAAATATTTCCTATTTTTGCCCGGCTACCCCAGATTTTTCTCTGCCCATTGGATTCAATATGATTTCACACATTACCTTCTATTTTTATTTCTGTTTTTAGAGTCTTCTAGTACAATGTTAGGAATTTTTTGAAATTTAAGTAACAGATGCATTTGAATTTTCAATATTCGGAATTTGAATTTAATTTCAGACTAAATTGCTCATGGAATTCCTGATTCATCTTGAAAATTCAATAAAATTAAGTTTTTCATGATGAATAATCGTTGATTTCTCAATGACAATTTGGATTTTCACACCTATCGCGAAAATTAAGCAACAGATTGAGAATTCAGAAAAAAAGTTGCCTGACTTTTCCCGATTTTCAGTAATTTTCATTGTCGTATGGACCTGAGAAATCAAATTTAATTGACATCTTCAATCAAAAAAATAGACTTGCTTTATTTTTCGTATTCTTGAAAATGCAATTAACCGCCAAAGTTTCATTATTAACGGAGTTTGGGGAAAAACGGACACTCTTGTCTTTTTTAAAAATATTAATGAGGTGTTGAAATGTCGATGAAATTCAATAATTTTTGTCAATACAAACAACACTTCTTTCTCTTTATCACGAGCCTAAAATGAGCTCACTTGAGAAATTTGTTTCTGAGTTATGAATAATAAAAAAAACATCAAGTGTCCATTTTACCCCACCCTCCCCTACATTTTACGCTCATTTATTTTCAAACTGGCAATTGTATGTCCATGAAATAGAAATTAAAAATGCCTTCATTAGGACCATCGTTAGTAAATAGGCCACACAATTCAAACTGATAATGAATTGACGAAAGTGCGGAGAAGCCACTGCGCATGCGCCACACGCCGCCTGGCTAGTGCTACGGCGCACACTGTGTTCCTCGCTCACGTGTTTTTGTTGTTACTCTCCGTACAACAACATTATTTTCGTGGCACGTACATTTTATTTATTCTCGAAAAACCGTCATTTTGTTGTAGTCGACGAGTGCGAATGACAGTGCAGGACATGGATATCTGTCTGAATGTGTTCACTGGGCCGTCCGATGCTGCGTCTACATCAAAAGTAAGTTTTAGGTTAACCACGGCACTCACCAGCCACTTCCCCACATTTTCACTGCAAATATAAATTTATACACCCCAGGGCTCGAGTAAGAAAGCAGATTTTTTCAAGCCTCACATAAAACGCCTCAACAAGAAAAAATTGGCGAGTAAAAATTTCGAATTAAAAGACAAAACAGACGACAATCAATCGGAAAGTGTAAATTCACAGAAGAAAAGAGTAAAACAAAAGTCGCTGTCGCTAATTGTTGCACGAAATCGAACTAGAGTGAATCAATCTGCTGTTGATATTGTCAAAAATGTTGGCAAGACTAAAGTAGAAAATAGTGAGAAGAAAAATGTGACTGAAGGGTCGCAGTCGAGACCAACAGGAGTGACAGTTAAATTTTCCAAATCACCAGAGACTGGTTTAAAAACAATTTTAGCTAAACGAAAACGAGATACAAATTCGGGTAAAACATTGGCTGATATTTTCGCAAAACCGAGTGACGATAAGACTGGGAAAAAAGTGGAGAACAGTTCGGGTGAATCGTTGACTGAGATTTTTGCAAAGAACAAGAGTTTTTGTTCGGGTGATGCACAAGTTTCTTTGGAGGAATCAGAAGGGGAGAAATTGGCCCATCGAAAGGGAAACAAGAGGCATGATAAATTTAATAAGGGGAGAAATGATATGTCGATTCAAGAAGACAGGGGAGAAAGAACGTTCAGTCACTCTGGAAAAGTCTCTTCACTGTTTGGCAATAATCCAGATGTCCCAACCATCGGACAGAGACTGGTTAAGCCTGTGCACGAGACTGTCTTCAGTGAAAGAAAGTTCAGTGATCTGGGGGTTCACCCATTCATGGTCTCCAACTTGGAGCAGAATATGAATATCAGCAACATGACAACAGTTCAGCAAAAAGCTGTCCCACAGATATTGTCTGGAAGTGATGTTCTAGTCAGGTCACAGACGGGTTCTGGTAAAACTCTGGCTTATGCACTTCCAATTGTGGAGTCGCTGCATAAAGTTAGGCCAAAGCTGATGAGGGACAGTGGAATAAGGGCTTTGGTGGTGGTGCCCACTAGGGAATTAGCACTGCAGACTTATGAATGCTTTTTGAAACTCATTAAGGTAATTATTTTTATCCTTTTTCTGTACAACTTTAGATCTTCCCTCTCGCAATTAAAAAATATTTGAATGATTCTTGTTTATTTCTTTTCCAAATAATAAACATGGGTTGGTGGATTGAAATTATATCAAAGTGAAGGAAATATCTTCATCTCTCAATTTAAAAAAAATCAATTTTTTTAAGTACCTGCGATTTTGGATAAACATCCTTGGGAGGATTAAGATTCCTTTGGCGCCGCTATTTAACATACATTTTCCGTATCATTTTCCCTTTAGAATACGGGAAAAATAAATTTAAAAAATCCCTCAATTAGTTTTTGGGATATAAGCATTTCAATCCTTATTTTTCAAGATACGAACATTTCCATAAAGCTTCGTATAGGTAATCATTGAATTCAATGATTATATTTACAACATCAAAAAAACAGAACTCAGTTTTAACGTAAATTTTTTTGTTGGAGATTTTTTTGATTGAATTTTTGGTGCCATGTCTATATCTCACAAAACAAACTCAACACGTGAATTCAACACACAACAAAGTCAACACAATCAAACTCATCACAACACAATTTAAAAGTGCGTAATAATCAACATGAATCAAACAAAAACACCATTACATGTACTCTGGATGTCAACAAACACATCGAAAATATCACCATTGGGCATCCACAGGAATAGTATTTTTCCGGCCTGTGGCGATGGGGTTTTTTCCTCGTGTGGCGTTGGCGTCCGAGCCGTAGGCGAGGACTGGCCAACCACACGAGTAAAAAAACCCCATCACAACAGCCCAGGAACAATATTTTTCTGTCGTGATTTTCAAGTTTTCGAGTTTGGGAAGTATGTAATACCAATTCCCAAACGAGAAATCGTGAGAAGCAGTACAGAAAAAGAATAAAACTCCCAGCTATCTTCATAGCATCCAACCCATATACATTTGAAATATAAATATATAGACATCAGTATGAAAAAACAAACGAAACCAACCCAACCGTATACCTGACAATCGAAGAATAATCAGTACGGTGAAAACTCCGATGCGAAATTGATGTTGAAATTGAATATGATGGAAAAACCGAATGATGAAATAGTNTCAGTATGAAAAAACAAACGAAACCAACCCAACCGTATACCTGACAATCGAAGAATAATCAGTACGGTGAAAACTCCGATGCGAAATTGATGTTGAAATTGAATATGATGGAAAAACCGAATGATGAAATTGTTTTGGTAGAAAATGAAAATGTTGAATTGACGCCGTGGAGTTTAGACGTGTCATCGAATTTTTTTTCTGAAAAAATTGCACCAGTAATCGCGAAAAATCGGTCAACAAAATCTGCGACAAAAGAATTTTCGGTCGAAAACGCATTCAACCAAGGCAGTGTCACCCTTGTGACCCTCGTGACCCTAGCGACTCCTTTTTTTGTGACCCTTGCAACCTTACCTCGAGTTGGGAGAGCACCTGATGCATAATCGGAAGGTCCCGGGTTCAAATCTCAGTCTGGACTTTCAAATTGTTTCAGTAAATTTGTCTTGTCAACTAATATTGAGAATTATCCTGGTTCCCCTCATACCTACTCCAAAATCCTATCCAGCAACGTCCAGTGACGCCACAAGATGTGGAACGCTATGTAAACCTCCGTCTTCTGTGAGGAATCTCTATAATTCAGGAGAAATAATGGAGATGGAATTTTTTCATTATTTTTCCCGCAATCCTGGGGAAAAATGGCATGGAAAACATAAGTTGAATCGTGGCGCCAAAGGAATCGTAATCATGTTAGTCCCTTGAAAAGAAAACAATGTTTTCAGCCCTTTACATGGATCGTACCTGGCTACTTGGTTGGTGGAGAAAAAAGAAAAGCCGAGAAGGCTAGATTGAGACGTGGTTGCACAATATTAATCGCAACGCCTGGCCGATTATTAGATCATATCAAGCACACGGAAGCCTTGAAACTCACCAATGTCAAGTGTTTCGTTTTGGATGAGGCTGATCGAATGCTTGATATGGGATATGAGAAAGATATATCTGGGTAAGCGTATCAAATTGTTTAAATTGAGATTGTAATTCAATTCTGCAAATACGTGTGTACACCTGCCAGACAAAAGTTGCAGGATTGAATTTTCGATATTGGATAATTTAAAGCTAATCGAGAGCTATTGCACGTTTTCAAAAAATTTCCTGCTAATTCAGTTTTTGGAAAAATGACGGTGATGCCGGCTTATGGCAGGCTAGCAGAAAAATTAATCGAAAATGAGGCAAAATTAGATTTTTAACCCCCAAAGGTGAATTTCAATATCTCCACTCGACGGCCGTTTATTTCGCATCCGAGTGTTTCATTGGCGTCAGAATCGCGAATAGATGCAGAATCAACATTCACTCGACGAAAAAATTCGATTTTGGCGAAAGTCGACTTTTCCCTTGAAAAAATCTAAGATTCTGACCCTTTGGCTCCGAGTGAAAAAATTTTTTTTTCAGTTTTCATTTTTTCCATATACTTTTGAGAGTTCTGGATAGCCCGTCGCTTAAATAGTTGGAATCAACGTTCACCCGGCTAAAAAATTAAATTTTGGCGAAAGTGAAAACTGAGAAACCGTTTTTTTTGGCCCCAGCCAAAGGGGCAGATTTTCGGGTTTTCCGGGGCAAGTGGATTTTCGCCAAAATCGAATTTTTTAGCCGGGTGAACGTTGATTCTAAAAAAATTCGCCTCCGGTGAAAAATTTTTTTTTTCATTTTTCACTTTTTCCACATACTTTTGACAGTTCTGACTAGCCCGTCGCTTAAATAGTTGGAATCAACGTTCACCCGGCTAAAAAATTCGATTTTGGCGAAAATCCACTTGCCCCGGAAAACCCGAAAATCTGCCCCTTTGGCTGGGGCCAAAAAAAACGGTTTCTCAGTTTTCACTTTTTCCACATACTTTTGACAGTTCTGACTAGCCCGTCGCTTAAATAGTTGGAATCAACGTTCACCCGGCTAAAAAATTCGATTTTGGCGAAAATCCACTTGCCCCGGAAAACCCGAAAATCTGCCCCTTTGGCTGGGGCCAAAAAAAACGGTTTCTCAGTTTTCACTTTTTCCACATACTTTTGACAGTTCTGACTAGCCCGTCGCTTAAATAGTTGGAATCAACGTTCACCCGGCTAAAAAATTCGATTTTGGCGAAAATCCACTTGCCCCGGAAAACCCGAAAATCTGCCCCTTTGGCTGGGGCCAAAAAAAACGGTTTCTCAGTTTTCACTTTTTCCACATACTTTTGACAGTTCTGACTAGCCCGTCGCTTAAATAGTTGGAATCAACGTTCACCCGGCTAAAAAATTCGATTTTGGCGAAAATCCACTTGCCCCGGAAAACCCGAAAATCTGCCCCTTTGGCTGGGGCCAAAAAAAACGGTTTCTCAGTTTTCACTTTCGCCAAAATTTAATTTTTTAGCCGGGTGAACGTTGATTCCAACTATTTAAGCGACGGGCTAGTCAGAACTGTCAAAAGTATGTGGAAAAAGTGAAAAATGAAAAAAAAATTTTTTCACCGGAGGCGAATTTTTTTAGAATCAACGTTCACCCGGCTAAAAAAATCGATTTTGGCGAAAGTCGACTTTCCTCCTGGAAAAACCAAAAATCTTGAGATATCTTTCCTGCTATTTTACGAAGAAGCTGGCATGGACACGTATTTTTCAACGGGTATAAAATTAGCTCATAATGAGCTGCAAATTATCCAATACTGAAAATTCAATTCTGCTATTTTCGTCCCGCAAATGCTATGGGACCAAAGTTTCTTTCTTAATCATATTTTTTTTTCATAACAAGATAAAAATTTCAGTATCGTTTCTGCACTAAAAGTAACGCAACACGATAGTCAATCTTCCGACTATGATCCCATGAGCATGTTACGACAAAATCGAAAAATCGTCTTCAGTGATGAAGACAATGAAGAAGACAAAGACCAAAAAGAGAGCATAAATGCCAGTGATGAAGCTGCGGTGGAGGATGTTGAAGAGCCAAAGAGAGAATATCACTCTGGTACCGACAGTGAATCCGAAATTCAAGACTTTTCCATGAGGAAGAAAAAACTCTCCCCAGTGCCGAAAAAAATTGACACACCCGCTGAAAAAACTAGCAAGGAAGGCTCATCAGGAAGACAGACTATTTTGCTATCAGCAACATTAACAAATGCAGTAGAGAAACTAGCTGGTCTCACTATGACTGATCCTGTCTTCATTGATGCAGCTGAAGAGAACTTGCGCAAAACTGGTGGAAGTCTAACCGAGATAAATGATGATCTGGTGGTGCCTCAGGGTGTCACACAAAGCTATGTAGTCACTCCACCGAAATTACGGATGGTGACTCTTTGTGCCTACATCGCAGGAAGATGTCAGGTAATCAAAATAAGTTTTTTTTTTTTTTTTTTTTTTTTTTTTTTTTTTTTTTTTTTTTTTTTTTTTTTTTTTTTTTTTTTTTTTNCCTGCATCCTCAATTGAAATGAATTAAAAATGATTCCCATTATTCTCTTTGATTGATTTCAGACACCAGGACAGCATAAAATTCTAGTTTTCATGGCAACCCAAGACATGATTGATTTTTACGCCGAAGTATTGCCCCTGATACTGCGAAAACCAAGAGACGATGGGGATGATGATTCCGAAGCTCTGGTTAACGTTGAATTTTTCAAGCTGCACGGGAGTATGTCTCAAAAAGAGAGAACAGAGATATTCAAGACCTTCAGGCAGGCGCGCAGTGGTGTTTTACTCTGTACCGTAAGTCTTACAAACAACTGATTCCCGTAAAATATTTCATCCAACTGAAACAATCACACAATGCCTAGGAATTCAACGCAGTCTATCAAAACAAAACTCGTTTCCTCGTTATTAATAACTTGAGTATGCGCTTCACTCGGATTATTAGTGAAACATATTATCCTGCTATGCAGTTGCCTCCTCAGACTTGATCTATGGAGCAAGTGAGATGTTTTGAACGGCTATTAGTTACTGATCCACGGCGATGCAGTCCTGCCGCTAAAGAATCCTTCCCTTTAATCGCAGTCATCAATTGACGTCAGTTTTTGTCGGCACTGAAATACAGTGGCACATTCTCCCCTTTAGTTTTCATTGGCAAACTCAACTGTCGAATAATTTTTCTTCTCCTAAATGATGATAATTTAACTTGACTTGAGAGCCCTCAAAATAAGTTTTTTTTTTTTTTTTTTTTTTTTTTTTTTTTTTTTTTTTTTTTTTTTTTTTTTTTTTTTTTTTTTTTTTTTTTTTTTTTTTTNTTGCTGCCCTGCATTACATGCGCGTACCCTTTCCCTAGTATCTCTAAAAATTTGAAAGAAAAAGAAGCAGATGAGAATGAAGAAGAAGAAAAAACAATTATTGCCTGGCGCCCGCAATGGCAGGCTTCCCCTCGCTGAATTAAATCACTCGTAGGTGTACAATATATATGATGCAGAAGAATAGTAGAGCGTTCATTGATGTATAATCGTTTCGTGAAAGAATTTTCTTATTCACCAGTGGGTCCTCGCCCCCCACTGTTGCCCTGTAGATTTCTTGGGCCATCAAGTTTAAAAGAGTTCAGTATAATATCGTGACACTAAATCATGGCTAGCCAAACATAGAGTGCAGTTGAAGGAGAATGCATCGGTATCAAACGTTCACCGCTGGGGTCCCCAGCGGGCATCACATTGGCCCCCACTGGGTCTATCGTCATCACAAAACGAGGAATCAACTCGGTTTTGTAAGACATTTGTACCGCCGTCCTCAACTTTTGAGAGAAAATAATTGTTAAATTAATGCTCGATGAAATTTTTCCTTCCTCCCAAGACATTTGAGACAATTTGAGACAACGAATTGATTAACAAATTGATAGGACGTTGCTGCACGCGGATTGGACATGCCAAAAGTCGATACAGTGGTGCAATACACTGGCCCGCTATCGGCCAGAGACTACGTCCACAGAATTGGTAGAACAGCACGTGCTGGCACCTCAGGGACTGCAATAATATTCCTTACACCACCGGAAATTGAATTTGTGAGGGCTTTGGAGTCTCGAAGGATACGAATCAAGCAGGAGGACATGAAGGACGTGCTGGAGAAATTGATGGGTCCATTCTCGAGACATTTATCGGTGGAGGCCACTGCCACTGATCTACAGAATAAATTCGAGAATCTCTTGATTGAGGAGAAAAAGTTTCACAGTATGGCGTGTAAAGGTGAGTTATTCTCTTGTGATTAATGGCTGTGTGAAGTGAAGAGACGAGACGAGACATAACGAGACGACACGAGACAAAAGAGACGAGACGAGACATAACGAGACGAGACAAAAGAAACGAGAGACATGATGAGACGAGACAAACGAGACGAGAGACATGATGAGATGAGACAAACGAGACGAAAGACATGACGAGACGAGAGACATGATGAGACGAGACAAGACGAGGCAAATGAGACAAGAGACATGGTGAGGCGAGACGACACAAACGAGACGATAGACATGACGAAACAAGACGAGAGGAGACAAACGAGACGAAAGACATGACAATACGAGACGAGACAAACGAGATAAGAGACAAACGAGACGAGACGAGACGAGAAGAGTCATTCGAGACAATGACAAAAACGAGGCGAGAGTCGAGAGAGCCTCCTCCTCTCTGTATTTTTTTTCCGTGCAAATTGGATTATAGAGACAAGATGAGACGAGACGAGAGAAAAAATTGCTCTCGTATTTCGATACGAGACGACACATGAAGATGGAGTTTCTCGTCTCGCCTCGGGGCATCACTGGCATGAAGTAAAATTAATCCATCACACTCATTAATTTTCGTATTGGATTGGACTTAATCAAGTGTTGATAAGAGGCCCTGATTTCGTTTGACCGTAATAAAAATACGGTAATTTTGGAGGGTTGAGAGAAACCAAGTGTACATTTTTCTCGTGCGGCTCCCCTGTATATTAAGTCATTCCCCATACTGGCTGGGTTATCTACTGGGGTGGGAATAGAGAGGAAGTTCTCTTTCAGGCCTCGGAACGATATTTACATAGTGTATGAGCGAGGAGGGATGATCTTATTTGTCAAGCCATGGTTACTCTATTAGGGATGTTATGGGGAGGAATTTATTTGCTATAATAATAAATCCATTATGGAACGACACAAATTTGCCGGCTGGGGTGTGATATGTTGGTTGCCGTTCTCTCTCTCTCTCTCTCTCTCTTTTTTTTTTTTAATGTTAGAGGAGAATTTCACAGCTATCCTTCAGCGGTTAGCCAGCCCCTCCCTGAGTGACGGTACATGGCTAACCACTTGACCGTTCTTTGCTTCACTCGTGTGCCAAGTCATTGATGGATTAATTGATGTCGACCCTGTTCAGAATCAAAGTCGAATAGAGAAGAAAAATTGCAATATTTTTTTACCGTACGCTTTTAGCGCCATTTATTCCCCAGGACTCGGTGAATAAGTAACCAATAATGAGAATGAATTCGAGTCCTGTTAATTCGCAGCATTAGCACCCCAATAGAGCAGATCAGGGTACCACCCCTAATATAAACTACTACTTCACAGAACTCTTCGTATTAGTGTGTGGAGGGGGTCACACTCCAGTCTCTCGCTTACACCCAGCTAACTGTACTGGGGGATTCATCCACTCAATCTTGCATAGTACCACTCATAGTGACTATATTCTATATTCTATTCGATATAATTGTCCACTTTTGAATGGAATAAAATGTTCGCAATACTCAAACGGATGGAGTTTTAAGGGTTGTGAAAATTAAGAAATCGAATTTATTAAACTTCATATACTTGTAGATGTTTTATAAATATTGATAATGACTTGAGGAGACTCAAGAGAATGAAGAGTGAAACGTCAACGAATAATTTTTATTCTTCGATTAATTCTTTTTTTTTTACTTTTTAAAATAATCTGATTAAAATCGGTAATTGTTGAAAAATGAAGGGAGAGTTGTGAATTAATTTCCTGGGAAACTGAAAATTTTTTTGGAATTCTTCGGAAAATTTCAGTTTTCCAGATCTTCAAAGATTTTTCTCGAATTATTTGGAAAATTTTCATGAATTTTGTAGAGTTCAGAATTTTTGTGTGAAAATCTGAGAAGCGAGAAATCATCATTTTTGCGCATGATAAATATGAAAAAATTAAAATTTGGGAAGTGAAAAATAATTTGTGAGTTGAAAAAAGTTAGAAATACTGTTTTTTTCTCATGATCAACAATTAGCCAATTTATATATGTTTTGATATAAAGATAACCTTAACAGATGAAAAAATGATAAATATGATTGAAAAAAAATTTTTGGCATTTGAAGAATTTGCAAAATACCGGGGATTTTTTTCACCGACTACTTCACGTGACTCATTGACCAATGAGAATTGAGGATTATCGGTCAGGCAGTTTCGAGATATTTCGATATAAAACAACTTCACGTTTCTTTCATCTTCAGTTTTACAATTGTTTGAAACGTTAGCCCCAATAACGTTATATTATCGAATTCCAAGGGCTGTAAGTGATGATGAGTTAGATAGAATCTGGTATGCCTAGCACGAGCGTCTTTTACCCAGGGTTATGGGTGGTGGGACCTGCGGGGGCTCTCGACAACAATCCAAGCACTGAATGTGGCTTCCGCCGAAACCACTTACGCTTTGTGGCTAGAGTGTCTTAACAATACGATACAGGATACAAATACAATAAGACGCAGTTACATCACTTAGGAACAATGCTCAACCACCCCCACATCACTCTCACCCGAGTCTCTCGTCACCGCCTTTTCAAAATTTATGTGTTAAATGGAGAAAAACATTTCTTCCTTTCTTTCCTTTCTCTTTATACTTTTTCTCTCAGCGAGAATTTATTTTATTTATTGCAGCCCCATGAAGTATCAGTTTCTCTCTCTCCCTCTCTCTCTCTGTTTTTCTTACAACGCTCTAGAAAATGATGAAATTATTCAACTCTCAATATGAGGGTCAGGTATAAGGGTCAGGAACAGGAGTCAGGGACAAGGGTCAGGGCGAGGAGGGAGAGGGAGGGGGGCAGCGAGCGGGGGGGGGCGAAGCCCCCCCGGAGTTGGCGGGCGTAGCGAGCAGGGGGCTTAGCCCCCTAGTTTCGGAATAATAATTGATTGTGGCTTGCGCCATAAAAAACAACTCTTTGTTGCAGCGTATGTCTCGTGGATGCGATTTTACTCGAGTTATCCCCGCGACATGAGGGAGATATTCAATCGAAAAGATCTCCATCTCGGTCACTGTGCGAAGAGCTTCGCCCTGCGTGATCCATTTTCCTTTCTCTTTATACTTTTTCTCTCAGCGAGAATTTATTTTATTTATTGCAGCCCCATGAAGTATCAGTTTCTCTCTCTCCCCTCTCTCTCTGTTTTTCTTACAACGCTCTAGAAAATGATGAAATTATTCAACTCTCAATATGAGGGTCAGGTATAAGGGTTAGGGACAAGGGTCAGGAACAGGAGTCAGGGACAAGGGTCAGGGCGAGGAGGGAGGGGGAGAGCGAGCGGGGAGGGGCAAGGCCCCCCCGGAGTTGGCGGGCGTAGCGAGCAGGGGGCTTAGCCCCCTAGTTTCGGAATAATAATTGATTGTGGCTTGCGCCATAAAAAACAACTCTTTGTTGCAGCGTATGTCTCGTGGATGCGATTTTACTCGAGTTATCCCCGCGACATGAGGGAGATATTCAATCGAAAAGATCTCCATCTCGGTCACTATGCGAAGAGCTTCGCCCTGCGTGATCCACCCAAGAGAATCGGTGGTATTGGCAAAACAATGCTGGAGAAGAATCCTTCAAAGCCTGTTCACAACAACAGACTATCCAATGAACGGTGAGTGATGCTAAATACGACTAAACACATGTAAAGGATGGATAGTCGAGGCGGATTTACTGGTATTAATGGAGGATTTACGGGTGGCTTGTTGCTCACTAATGTGCACCAGAGATGTCAAAATCCATTGCTCTCATCGCGGTAGTTATTCGTCACTCTGTGACGACTACGAGAATTTCACCAAGCGAGCATGATGTGTGTCGTGTGGTGGCATACGCATCGTGTCTCCACGTTACGCATTGCATTTCACGTTTAAACTCCAGTGGCGGTGGGCGGGGGGGGGGGGGGG